AGACCAGAAATGGACATAGGACTCCAGTTGTGGCCTCATCAGTGCTGAGTAGAAGGGAAGGATCACCTCCCTTGAACTGCTGGCAATACTTCGCCTAATGAAGGCCAGGATACCACGTGCCGCCTTTGCCCCAAGGGCATGTTGCTGGCTCACATTCAGCTTGGTGCCACCAACCCTAGGTCCTTTTCTGCCAAGCTGCTTTCCAGCTGGGTGGTCCCTAGCATGTAATGGTGCATGGGGCTGGTCCTTCCTCTGGATGGCAGCACAACACTCTGGCCTATCTGCCACTCTTTACAATTTGGAGTAGTCTGCAAACTTGATGAGGGCACAGTCTGCCCCATCATTTAGATCATTAATGACGATGTTAAACAGGACTGGACCCGGTATTGACCCCTGGGGTACACCACTAGTTACTGGCCTCCAACTAGATTTCATGCTGCTGCTAACCACCCTCTGGGCCCAGCTGTTCAGTCAGTTTTCAATCCACTTCCAGACCATACGTCAACAGCTTCTCTGTGAGGATCTTATGGGAGACAGTGAAGTCTAGGCAGATGATATCCACTGCTCTCCCCTCATCTACCAGGCCAGTCATTTCACTGTAGAAGGTTATCAAGTTGGTCAGGCATGACTTCCCCTTGATGAATCCATGCTGACTACTCCTGATGATTTTCTTGCCCTTCGTATGTCTGGAAGTGGTTAGCCACTCCATCACTCTCCGAGGTATTGAGGTCAGGCTGACCAGCCTATAGTTCCCTGAGTTGTTCTTCTTGCCCTTCCTGAAGACAGTAGTGACACTTGCTTTCCTCCAATCTTCAGTCGTCTTTCCTCCACTTCTCCCAGTTGCCATGAGTGATCAAAGATTACTGAGAGTGGCCTCACAATGACATCAGCCAGCTCCCTCAGCACTTATGAGTACATCCTACCATGGCCCATGGACCTACGTGCGTCCAGTTTGCTTAAGTATTCCCTGACCTCTTAAGCAATCCTCTTCCACCAAGGGTACATCTTCCTTGTTCCAGCCTTTCCTCCCAGTCTCTGGGACCTGGGATCCTGAACTCCAGTCTTGCTAGTAAATACTGAGGCAAAGGCGGCATTCAGTAGCTCAGCCTTTTTCATGTCCTGTGTAACCAAGTCCCCCATCCCATTGAGCAACATTTTCTCTCGTTTTCCTTTTGTTACCTATGTACTCAGAGAAGCTGATATATTGTGGGGGGTGTGCGTGTGTGTGCGTGAAAAGACCACCAAGTCAGACATTAAAACATGTGCACACAATAATTCAATCAAAAATTCAATAGTAAACAAATCTTGCTATAAACAATAATCCCCAGGATGTTGGAAATGCGGTTCTTCTTTCTTCTATAGATTGTAACTCAGGATGACTATCCCTCAGATATGGGTGGGAAAATGTCTGTGGTGCAACTAAACTCTTCTCATAGCTCTCAAACCTGTCTCTAGCTAGATCTCATCTTCATCAAAACTGCCAAGAAACTTTCATAGGATCATAAAGTGCAGCCCTTCTTGTGAAATAAATTCTCAGCGAAGCATAACCAAAGCTAGTCTAGAAAGTTACAGCTGACTACAAGGGCACAACAGTTCAGACCACAAGGTTAAAAATACCACAGTACCCATTTCAAAATCCATGAAAAAGAAATGAAACAGAAATTCTAGACTAAAGGCTGTTCTTTTTCACCTAGGGAAAATTCCTAGGCAGACGAAGACGGTATCAACAGGAAAATGGATTGCTGGTAGCCCTGATCAATACATTAGTGAAGGAAAGTAAACTTATAAACAAAATTTGTTATGTAATTGGAGTTGATAAAAACTCATTTTTTTCAAAACACTTATTTTTCTCCAATACGTTTTTTGATAAAAATTGTCATTATGGTAACTATGCTAAAGCCTAGTCACACAATTACTTATCCAAAAAAGTTACATTTAACAGTATAAATAATCAGTGAGAACATACTGGCTGCCTAAATTTTATTTTCTGTGTGTTTATATTTAAAATAATTCATCCTATATGGAACATCTGCAGAAGAGCTCCAGAGAGATACTTTCATTTGATACATGGAAAATTAATTTTTAATTTACACTAACCTTCTCACTCTACCTACTTCACACTGCCTAGTAAGGACAGGTTTCCCATCATGCAGAATTTTCCAGAAGCCCTTACAACTTCCTCAAGCTCACACACAAATTCACAGACGGCAGAACAGGTTCAGCATGAAAAAGGTTCATTTCAATCTAACTTTAAAAGCCCTCGTAAATTCAGGCAGGGAATGAAGCATGAAAGAGTTCCTTGGGACTGCATTTATAAGGTCTGTACTGTGCAGACTATTACTTAGTATTTTATCTAGGCCAAAGTCAAAAGCAGCAATAGATTAGCTCTGGGACTATCATGAAGCAGTATAGCAATCTTCTGCATTAAACCCTCCAAGAAAGAATTAAATTCTTTACAGCTGACAAGGTAGAAAGATCACTGTACAGCATCAGCTTTTCTATGCAAGACAGTTCAAATCCTCAAGTTTTACAAGAGTCTAAACCTGCTCCTTTCACAGGCATTTCCTTCTTTTCAGCAGATTAGTTTTTAGTAGGGCATTAAGCTAACAGTTTTTAACAGCTCTCTTACACAACAGTTTTATAATCCTATTACCTCTTCCTATTAAAAAAACCCACCAACTGCATGAGAAATGAAGTCATAGGCTGTTTAAAAAAAACAACCAAACAAACAAAAGAAAAGAAACCCAATCCTCAGACAAACACCCTTTCCACTTCTCAGGATTTCAAGCCAAATGAAGCAAGAGCATTAAACCACTCGATGCTACTGCCACATCCCTCCTTCCTGTAGAGCAGTCACTCCAAGAAGTATGGAGAGTGCTACGCAAGCAGCAAACGCTTTTCATCCAGGAAACCCCACACCATAAAGACACCTCTGTTACCTTTCACATGCTGCAGGAAAGAGTCAGCTCAAAACTTGCAGGTTGACAGAGAGAAGAAAAGAAAAAAAAAAAAAAGAGCACCAACACATAACTGCTTTTCCTCAGCCCTAAGAGGCTCTCTAGTGCTGTCGCATACGCTCCTCCCTCGGCTGACGTCCCAGCCCAGGATGGCAGACAGCCTCTCTCCTCCAACACAGGGGGCACTTGACAGAGCAATACTGCATACAAATAATTGCTATAACAAACCAGTCAATTAGAAAGAAAGGCTCAAGTCTTTGCTCCTAAAAGTAAACCACAACTTCGATTGGAGCCGTTTTAGTATCTGCTCCATTTAGAGTTTTTTTAACATTAGAGATGCCATTCTTCTTACGTAGACCAAGCTGCCCACCCTCTTGTCCATCCATAGCTGTGGAGAAGTCCAGGCGCTCCCAGTGCACTGCTGTCCATTATCACCCAGACATCCTTGCCAATGACAGTGCCACCACAGACAGAAGCGTGTACTTTATGCAAGGGTCTTTCAACTAGCCTGGCTTACTGACCAGTCTTTTCACAAAAGGTAACTTGCTGTTACAAGGCTGTCCCTCGATGGTTCTTTTTCTACCACTTTGCCCCATTAACACTGCTCTAGCAACCTCGCAGAATCAGCAGGATGGAAACAACAGATACGTGTCTCTGCCATCTTGCCAGTCTGGGGCTCTCCCAGACTACCGGGGCAGCAGCACCTCAACATTAGCCGTGCTGGCCGAGCCCCGGTCTGGCACACAGCTGCCTGGAAGAGTTTTGCTGCCAACCTACATAAGCCTCCTCTCCCTAGCTGCTGTGTATTAAGCTGAAAAACACACATCCTCCAGTAGAGTTGTACCTACATTAGAGGAAGTTATGACCACACCTACGTCAGGTAAGGGGTGGGATTTTCTCATGCTTCTAGTCAATATAATGACAAAACATATAGAAAGGATAAGGCCTGAGTATACACAGGGGACAGAGCTAAAACAGACTGTATTAGAGGTGGGGAGCAAAAGGATAGCTGCAGCCTCACGACAAGCGTTTATCTCCTGTAACTCAAGCCTGTTTGAGCTCTTTGTGCAATACATACATTCCAAGCAGGTAGACATTTCAAAGCTTCCCCAGTAAGCCTCCTCTATGCCACAGAGGTCTTATTCATTATTAGGACTGCACAAGAGTTTTGGGGAAAAACTTCCTTGTTTGAAACACTTAGCAGTGTCTGAAAAAAACTTTTAGGACTACCATGTGTTTTAACTGGTCAGCCACAAAGTCAGACCAGCCTGGATCTCAGCTGTCACAGTCTCACCTTCCTCTCCACTCCAGCCCCCAAACTATACTTTGTCGGCATCGGTTCTCATGCAAATGTGGGGTTAGCCAGATCAGGAGGCAAGCAGTATTTCTATAGCAACCTTCTGTGATCCACTGTCCACCCTTCCCACTGAAGAATGTCAGAAGACCTGGTACAACTACCAGCAGAAAAACAGTAGCTCAACCATTCCTATTCAACTGAAAGCTATTTTAGGGGGATGACAATATGAATTTCACGGCAATAACTGCTAACCTTCTACAAACCAGACAATTTTAAAGTGGAAACATACGAGTTAAAAAGAAACAGAGCAAGGTGCATTTGTGAGCCTGATTAGAGTTACAGCCACTGCCAGTTAAAACATTCCAGGTGTGTGGAGAATATAAGCAGATGTGCTGGCTCCACACTCTTCCCTTTCTATTTATTACTTGGTAACTGCTTGATACTCAATGCAAAAGAAAAAAAAGTACTGGTGGCTCCAACTCCCCACATTATAGGTAAAGAATACATAATGCACCAGGAAATAACCTAGATATTTAACTTAAATAACTTCCTGTCTCCATGCATGTGGGCATCATGGAAGAAGTGATTGCAACAGATGCAAATGAGGAAAGGCTTGGCAAGCAAATACAACAAATCCATTTCACACAGAAGGAACATCATAGTAGAAAAGCACTGAAAGAGGACCATACATATTTAACGCTGACATGCAGGTTAGAGAAGAAAACAGGAGTGTCTCAGTATCTCACCTGTCCCTAACACCACTGTTCTTCCACCCAGTGTTACCCCAGATGACTCAGTGCTATTCCTGTGTTCCAACGTGCTTTGGTTTACAATCAAAGAGCTGAACAACTTGCTCCACAGTGAATGCACAGGACTGAGGCCATGCCCACTTGCTGCATCATGGGGTCCTCCACAGGCTGCAGGGTGGATATCTGCTCCAGCGTGGTCCCCTCTACAGGCTAGATATCTCCTCTGCAACAGGAGTGCCTCTCACCTCCCCCCCGCCATTCTTTGACCTTGGTGTTCACCGAGCTGTTTCTAACTTCCTCCCCCCACCCCCTTCTCTCTCACTCTCTCTTACTCCTCTCTCAGAGCAGCTGCACAGCATTTTGCCCTTTCTTAAAAACATTTTCCCCAAGGCACCATCAGCTTGGCTGGCTGCCTCAGCCTTGGCCAGCAGTGGGTCTGTTTTAGGGCTGGCTAGAACTGGCTGTGTTCAGCACAGGTGCAGCCCCTGGCCTCTTCTCACAGAGGCCACACCTGCACCACCACCCTTCCTGCCAACACCTTGCCACCTACACCCGATACAGCACTCTGAAGTGAAACACTGACTTAAAAGCAGTTTAAAAGACCCAGCGCGTTGCTTGAGGTGTATGGCTTCTTAATGATTACACATACCTATATACCCCGAATGTGTGTCATTTTCTGGCTACTAGTACGCCCAGGTGACAGTTCTCTCCACCTTGTACCTCCAGCCACAGCACGCACCTGTGAGGTTCACAGTCCTCTACTGATGTCCAGAATAGTAACTACACACTTCTACCACCCCCATTTAACTGACTGAAACTTTTTGACTGTTCATCTAGATGGTCAGTGCTGCACGGCCTAAGTGTTCTTGACACAGCTATGCAAATCTATCTTCAGGTAGACAAACTTCAGGCAACAATTGCACCAATGCAGAAGAAATTTCAGTTGACATTTTCACTTAATATAGGGCCCTAGAGGAATCTTGGCTTTAGCATTACTTTTGTTTCAGCACTTTACATCTACCTCAATTATTAGATAGTGAGTATACAGCTACATTTAACATCTCCAGACAATTTGGTGAGCAAGCAGCAGACATTTTTATAGAGAATCACAGAATCATTGAAAAAGACCTTTAAGATCATCAGGTCCAACCATAACCTAACACTGCCATTCCACCACCAAACCATGTCCCTAAGCACCTGTCTTTTCAACACCTCCAGGGATGGGGCCTCAACCACTTCCCTGGGCAGCCCGTTCTAGTGCTTGACAACACATTTGACTTACAAAATAGAGGCCTGACTCTTGGCAAACACTCAGCACCTAAAATATCACATTAAGATTTCTGAGATTACCAAAGAAAAAGCTTATCCTTCCTTTACTAAGCAAATACAGAGTCTTTACTGCAAATGACCCAACCTCATTGTGTTCAGTTGCATACCTGCTGGGTGACTTTTGGACTAAATATTTGCCTAAACAAGCAGGTTTTTAACTGAGCTCTTGCATCAAAGCAGGCAGTCATTAGACCAGGCTTCAGAATCTCCAGGCATACCACCTTCAAACTAGCAAGTTCACCAAACTCTTTCAGGCAACTTAAATTTAGGATCATACAATAAAAGTAGGATTTAAACACCCATCAACTTCTATTTTTTTCCTACATGTTATTTAAAAGAGAAGAACGTGGCTACTCAAAATAGAGAGAAAAAGAAAAACCCAAGCCTTCCAAAGTTGAAGCAACAAATTTGTTACTTCTAACTGAAAAGTATTTGCGAAAATGAAATGCAGCCATTACAAAAATTACAAGAAAATACCTACATAAATCAAAAACAAGATCGATCATACTTAAAGAAAGTGTTTATCAAGAAAACTCATTTACAGTAACAGTATCTTGGATGGAAGGTGATACACTTCACGGTGTTAAAGAAAGCTTAATGAAAATTGTCTAAGTTGATCAGTGACAGAGACTAATACAAAACTCTGAAGCCATGCTTTTCAGTATTCTAAATTTAATCAAAGTATTTGTAATTAACTACAGAAGTCTTACAGAATCATCAACGAGTTGCAGAGAAAAAAAAAAGGCTTTAGAGAAAGAGTATCTCACATAACTACAAACCTTACTGATAAAAACTGTAAATATTTAAAGCATGTAAAACAGATTTTAAAGTTTATTTCTTTGGGTTTTTTTAATGTTGGCCATCTCAGTGACATCAAACTTCCACCTTCCTTCTCTCCAGTCCTCTTTGTTGAAAACTGAGCTCTTCTAAACTGACTCAGCTGCCCCTTGGGAACTTCCTGTTCAGTGGCAGGTGGGAAAGAATGTTAAATTGACAAGAGATCTTCATTGTTAATGCTCTGAGACAGCAGGTATTAGTAAGAAATTGAATACATGTATTCTCCTTTTTGACTATTACTACCACAGCACTGTGAAAGTCTTAAGTCTAGAAGGTTTCTAATCATATCAGAGCTACACTTTAAAATAAAGAGTTTGTATTAGGACTCAGAAACCAAACCTTCTCAAATACTCCTGCTAGTAGTCCCACTTCTGCTTTCCCTCAAGACCTACAAACACATTTCCACCATCACTAGCCCACCCGGGGCATTTTCATCAAACAAGGGCTCCCATGAACCTGTGCAAACCTCCTCTCAAGCCCTCTGCTCACTCTTCTTGCTCCTCCAAAAGAACACCTAGAGCAATGAGCGAAGAAGTTTACGTCTCGTCAGCAAGAAAATTTTAGTGAACAGCATCACTCGCCTGTGCTCTAGCTTCTCTATGCCTGAACTGGAGAAAATAATACCAAGTACTGAATTTACCACAAAACCGTTCAAAAGCTTTAGTGAAAGTAAGAACACCAGCGTACTACATCCACCCTCCTAACTTAGGACCTCTGAGCCCAATACAGTAAGTACTTCCACCTGATACATAGTTTTTAGGTACCTAACTGTTCCCAATTACATCGGTAACGCTACACTGTAACGAAATTACATACCGGCTGATGCATTTGCAGGATCACACGGCCGAGTCCTGCCTTTGATGTGCGTGAGGGGCTGCCCGCAGAGGCGGGGGAGGCCCTCGAAGCCAGGAGCCGCAGACAAGGGAGCCAAAGTTCCCTCCTGCGTACCAGGCGCTCAGAGTACGAGGCACCAGTAACCAAACCCCCCTCGCTCTTTCGCCCTCCAACTAGATTTCATGCTGCTGCTAACCACCCTCTGGGCCCAGCTGTTCAGTCAGTTTTCAATCCACTTCCAGACCATACGTCAACAGCTTCTCTGTGAGGATCTTATGGGAGACAGTGAAGTCTAGGCAGATGATATCCACTGCTCTCCCCTCATCTACCAGGCCAGTCATTTCACTGTAGAAGGTTATCAAGTTGGTCAGGCATGACTTCCCCTTGATGAATCCATGCTGACTACTCCTGATGATTTTCTTGCCCTTCGTATGTCTGGAAGTGGTTAGCCACTCCATCACTCTCCGAGGTATTGAGGTCAGGCTGACCAGCCTATAGTTCCCTGAGTTGTTCTTCTTGCCCTTCCTGAAGACAGTAGTGACACTTGCTTTCCTCCAATCTTCAGTCGTCTTTCCTCCACTTCTCCCAGTTGCCATGAGTGATCAAAGATTACTGAGAGTGGCCTCACAATGACATCAGCCAGCTCCCTCAGCACTTATGAGTACATCCTACCATGGCCCATGGACCTACGTGCGTCCAGTTTGCTTAAGTATTCCCTGACCTCTTAAGCAATCCTCTTCCACCAAGGGTACATCTTCCTTGTTCCAGCCTTTCCTCCCAGTCTCTGGGACCTGGGATCCTGAACTCCAGTCTTGCTAGTAAATACTGAGGCAAAGGCGGCATTCAGTAGCTCAGCCTTTTTCATGTCCTGTGTAACCAAGTCCCCCATCCCATTGAGCAACATTTTCTCTCGTTTTCCTTTTGTTACCTATGTACTCAGAGAAGCTGATATATTGTGGGGGGTGTGCGTGTGTGTGCGTGAAAAGACCACCAAGTCAGACATTAAAACATGTGCACACAATAATTCAATCAAAAATTCAATAGTAAACAAATCTTGCTATAAACAATAATCCCCAGGATGTTGGAAATGCGGTTCTTCTTTCTTCTATAGATTGTAACTCAGGATGACTATCCCTCAGATATGGGTGGGAAAATGTCTGTGGTGCAACTAAACTCTTCTCATAGCTCTCAAACCTGTCTCTAGCTAGATCTCATCTTCATCAAAACTGCCAAGAAACTTTCATAGGATCATAAAGTGCAGCCCTTCTTGTGAAATAAATTCTCAGCGAAGCATAACCAAAGCTAGTCTAGAAAGTTACAGCTGACTACAAGGGCACAACAGTTCAGACCACAAGGTTAAAAATACCACAGTACCCATTTCAAAATCCATGAAAAAGAAATGAAACAGAAATTCTAGACTAAAGGCTGTTCTTTTTCACCTAGGGAAAATTCCTAGGCAGACGAAGACGGTATCAACAGGAAAATGGATTGCTGGTAGCCCTGATCAATACATTAGTGAAGGAAAGTAAACTTATAAACAAAATTTGTTATGTAATTGGAGTTGATAAAAACTCATTTTTTTCAAAACACTTATTTTTCTCCAATACGTTTTTTGATAAAAATTGTCATTATGGTAACTATGCTAAAGCCTAGTCACACAATTACTTATCCAAAAAAGTTACATTTAACAGTATAAATAATCAGTGAGAACATACTGGCTGCCTAAATTTTATTTTCTGTGTGTTTATATTTAAAATAATTCATCCTATATGGAACATCTGCAGAAGAGCTCCAGAGAGATACTTTCATTTGATACATGGAAAATTAATTTTTAATTTACACTAACCTTCTCACTCTACCTACTTCACACTGCCTAGTAAGGACAGGTTTCCCATCATGCAGAATTTTCCAGAAGCCCTTACAACTTCCTCAAGCTCACACACAAATTCACAGACGGCAGAACAGGTTCAGCATGAAAAAGGTTCATTTCAATCTAACTTTAAAAGCCCTCGTAAATTCAGGCAGGGAATGAAGCATGAAAGAGTTCCTTGGGACTGCATTTATAAGGTCTGTACTGTGCAGACTATTACTTAGTATTTTATCTAGGCCAAAGTCAAAAGCAGCAATAGATTAGCTCTGGGACTATCATGAAGCAGTATAGCAATCTTCTGCATTAAACCCTCCAAGAAAGAATTAAATTCTTTACAGCTGACAAGGTAGAAAGATCACTGTACAGCATCAGCTTTTCTATGCAAGACAGTTCAAATCCTCAAGTTTTACAAGAGTCTAAACCTGCTCCTTTCACAGGCATTTCCTTCTTTTCAGCAGATTAGTTTTTAGTAGGGCATTAAGCTAACAGTTTTTAACAGCTCTCTTACACAACAGTTTTATAATCCTATTACCTCTTCCTATTAAAAAAACCCACCAACTGCATGAGAAATGAAGTCATAGGCTGTTTAAAAAAAACAACCAAACAAACAAAAGAAAAGAAACCCAATCCTCAGACAAACACCCTTTCCACTTCTCAGGATTTCAAGCCAAATGAAGCAAGAGCATTAAACCACTCGATGCTACTGCCACATCCCTCCTTCCTGTAGAGCAGTCACTCCAAGAAGTATGGAGAGTGCTACGCAAGCAGCAAACGCTTTTCATCCAGGAAACCCCACACCATAAAGACACCTCTGTTACCTTTCACATGCTGCAGGAAAGAGTCAGCTCAAAACTTGCAGGTTGACAGAGAGAAGAAAAGAAAAAAAAAAAAAAGAGCACCAACACATAACTGCTTTTCCTCAGCCCTAAGAGGCTCTCTAGTGCTGTCGCATACGCTCCTCCCTCGGCTGACGTCCCAGCCCAGGATGGCAGACAGCCTCTCTCCTCCAACACAGGGGGCACTTGACAGAGCAATACTGCATACAAATAATTGCTATAACAAACCAGTCAATTAGAAAGAAAGGCTCAAGTCTTTGCTCCTAAAAGTAAACCACAACTTCGATTGGAGCCGTTTTAGTATCTGCTCCATTTAGAGTTTTTTTAACATTAGAGATGCCATTCTTCTTACGTAGACCAAGCTGCCCACCCTCTTGTCCATCCATAGCTGTGGAGAAGTCCAGGCGCTCCCAGTGCACTGCTGTCCATTATCACCCAGACATCCTTGCCAATGACAGTGCCACCACAGACAGAAGCGTGTACTTTATGCAAGGGTCTTTCAACTAGCCTGGCTTACTGACCAGTCTTTTCACAAAAGGTAACTTGCTGTTACAAGGCTGTCCCTCGATGGTTCTTTTTCTACCACTTTGCCCCATTAACACTGCTCTAGCAACCTCGCAGAATCAGCAGGATGGAAACAACAGATACGTGTCTCTGCCATCTTGCCAGTCTGGGGCTCTCCCAGACTACCGGGGCAGCAGCACCTCAACATTAGCCGTGCTGGCCGAGCCCCGGTCTGGCACACAGCTGCCTGGAAGAGTTTTGCTGCCAACCTACATAAGCCTCCTCTCCCTAGCTGCTGTGTATTAAGCTGAAAAACACACATCCTCCAGTAGAGTTGTACCTACATTAGAGGAAGTTATGACCACACCTACGTCAGGTAAGGGGTGGGATTTTCTCATGCTTCTAGTCAATATAATGACAAAACATATAGAAAGGATAAGGCCTGAGTATACACAGGGGACAGAGCTAAAACAGACTGTATTAGAGGTGGGGAGCAAAAGGATAGCTGCAGCCTCACGACAAGCGTTTATCTCCTGTAACTCAAGCCTGTTTGAGCTCTTTGTGCAATACATACATTCCAAGCAGGTAGACATTTCAAAGCTTCCCCAGTAAGCCTCCTCTATGCCACAGAGGTCTTATTCATTATTAGGACTGCACAAGAGTTTTGGGGAAAAACTTCCTTGTTTGAAACACTTAGCAGTGTCTGAAAAAAACTTTTAGGACTACCATGTGTTTTAACTGGTCAGCCACAAAGACCAGCCTGGATCTCAGCTGTCACAGTCTCACCTTCCTCTCCACTCCAGCCCCCAAACTATACTTTGTCGGCATCGGTTCTCATGCAAATGTGGGGTTAGCCAGATCAGGAGGCAAGCAGTATTTCTATAGCAACCTTCTGTGATCCACTGTCCACCCTTCCCACTGAAGAATGTCAGAAGACCTGGTACAACTACCAGCAGAAAAACAGTAGCTCAACCATTCCTATTCAACTGAAAGCTATTTTAGGGGGATGACAATATGAATTTCACGGCAATAACTGCTAACCTTCTACAAACCAGACAATTTTAAAGTGGAAACATACGAGTTAAAAAGAAACAGAGCAAGGTGCATTTGTGAGCCTGATTAGAGTTACAGCCACTGCCAGTTAAAACATTCCAGGTGTGTGGAGAATATAAGCAGATGTGCTGGCTCCACACTCTTCCCTTTCTATTTATTACTTGGTAACTGCTTGATACTCAATGCAAAAGAAAAAAAAGTACTGGTGGCTCCAACTCCCCACATTATAGGTAAAGAATACATAATGCACCAGGAAATAACCTAGATATTTAACTTAAATAACTTCCTGTCTCCATGCATGTGGGCATCATGGAAGAAGTGATTGCAACAGATGCAAATGAGGAAAGGCTTGGCAAGCAAATACAACAAATCCATTTCACACAGAAGGAACATCATAGTAGAAAAGCACTGAAAGAGGACCATACATATTTAACGCTGACATGCAGGTTAGAGAAGAAAACAGGAGTGTCTCAGTATCTCACCTGTCCCTAACACCACTGTTCTTCCACCCCGTGTTACCCCAGATGACTCAGTGCTATTCCTGTGTTCCAACGTGCTTTGGTTTACAATCAAAGAGCTGAACAACTTGCTCCACAGTGAATGCACAGGACTGAGGCCATGCCCACTTGCTGCATCATGGGGTCCTCCACAGGCTGCAGGGTGGATATCTGCTCCAGCGTGGTCCCCTCTACAGGCTAGATATCTCCTCTGCAACAGACAGGCCTCTCACCTCCCCCCCGCCATTCTTTGACCTTGGTGTTCACCGAGCTGTTTCTAACTTCCTCCCCCCACCCCCTTCTCTCTCACTCTCTCTTACTCCTCTCTCAGAGCAGCTGCACAGCATTTTGCCCTTTCTTAAAAACATTTTCCCCAAGGCACCATCAGCTTGGCTGGCTGCCTCAGCCTTGGCCAGCAGTGGGTCTGTTTTAGGGCTGGCTAGAACTGGCTGTGTTCAGCACAGGTGCAGCCCCTGGCCTCTTCTCACAGAGGCCACACCTGCACCACCACCCTTCCTGCCAACACCTTGCCACCTACACCCGATACAGCACTCTGAAGTGAAACACTGACTTAAAAGCAGTTTAAAAGACCCAGCGCGTTGCTTGAGGTGTATGGCTTCTTAATGATTACACATACCTATATACCCCGAATGTGTGTCATTTTCTGGCTACTAGTACGCCCAGGTGACAGTTCTCTCCACCTTGTACCTCCAGCCACAGCACGCACCTGTGAGGTTCACAGTCCTCTACTGATGTCCAGAATAGTAACTACACACTTCTACCACCCCCATTTAACTGACTGAAACTTTTTGACTGTTCATCTAGATGGTCAGTGCTGCACGGCCTAAGTGTTCTTGACACAGCTATGCAAATCTATCTTCAGGTAGACAAACTTCAGGCAACAATTGCACCAATGCAGAAGAAATTTCAGTTGACATTTTCACTTAATATAGGGCCCTAGAGGAATCTTGGCTTTAGCATTACTTTTGTTTCAGCACTTTACATCTACCTCAATTATTAGATAGTGAGTATACAGCTACATTTAACATCTCCAGACAATTTGGTGAGCAAGCAGCAGACATTTTTATAGAGAATCACAGAATCATTGAAAAAGACCTTTAAGATCATCAGGTCCAACCATAACCTAACACTGCCATTCCACCACCAAACCATGTCCCTAAGCACCTGTCTTTTCAACACCTCCAGGGATGGGGCCTCAACCACTTCCCTGGGCAGCCCGTTCTAGTGCTTGACAACACATTTGACTTACAAAATAGAGGCCTGACTCTTGGCAAACACTCAGCACCTAAAATATCACATTAAGATTTCTGAGATTACCAAAGAAAAAGCTTATCCTTCCTTTACTAAGCAAATACAGAGTCTTTACTGCAAATGACCCAACCTCATTGTGTTCAGTTGCATACCTGCTGGGTGACTTTTGGACTAAATATTTGCCTAAACAAGCAGGTTTTTAACTGAGCTCTTGCATCAAAGCAGGCAGTCATTAGACCAGGCTTCAGAATCTCCAGGCATACCACCTTCAAACTAGCAAGTTCACCAAACTCTTTCAGGCAACTTAAATTTAGGATCATACAATAAAAGTAGGATTTAAACACCCATCAACTTCTATTTTTTTCCTACATGTTATTTAAAAGAGAAGAACGTGGCTACTCAAAATAGAGAGAAAAAGAAAAACCCAAGCCTTCCAAAGTTGAAGCAACAAATTTGTTACTTCTAACTGAAAAGTATTTGCGAAAATGAAATGCAGCCATTACAAAAATTACAAGAAAATACCTACATAAATCAAAAACAAGATCGATCATACTTAAAGAAAGTGTTTATCAAGAAAACTCATTTACAGTAACAGTATCTTGGATGGAAGGTGATACACTTCACGGTGTTAAAGAAAGCTTAATGAAAATTGTCTAAGTTGATCAGTGACAGAGACTAATACAAAACTCTGAAGCCATGCTTTTCAGTATTCTAAATTTAATCAAAGTATTTGTAATTAACTACAGAAGTCTTACAGAATCATCAACGAGTTGCAGAGAAAAAAAAAAGGCTTTAGAGAAAGAGTATCTCACATAACTACAAACCTTACTGATAAAAACTGTAAATATTTAAAGCATGTAAAACAGATTTTAAAGTTTATTTCTTTGGGTTTTTTTAATGTTGGCCATCTCAGTGACATCAAACTTCCACCTTCCTTCTCTCCAGTCCTCTTTGTTGAAAACTGAGCTCTTCTAAACTGACTCAGCTGCCCCTTGGGAACTTCCTGTTCAGTGGCAGGTGGGAAAGAATGTTAAATTGACAAGAGATCTTCATTGTTAATGCTCTGAGACAGCAGGTATTAGTAAGAAATTGAATACATGTATTCTCCTTTTTGACTATTACTACCACAGCACTGTGAAAGTCTTAAGTCTAGAAGGTTTCTAATCATATCAGAGCTACACTTTAAAATAAAGAGTTTGTATTAGGACTCAGAAACCAAACCTTCTCAAATACTCCTGCTAGTAGTCCCACTTCTGCTTTCCCTCAAGACCTACAAACACATTTCCACCATCACTAGCCCACCCGGGGCATTTTCATCAAACAAGGGCTCCCATGAACCTGTGCAAACCTCCTCTCAAGCCCTCTGCTCACTCTTCTTGCTCCTCCAAAAGAACACCTAGAGCAATGAGCGAAGAAGTTTACGTCTCGTCAGCAAGAAAATTTTAGTGAACAGCATCACTCGCCTGTGCTCTAGCTTCTCTATGCCTGAACTGGAGAAAATAATACCAAGTACTGAATTTACCACAAAACCGTTCAAAAGCTTTAGTGAAAGTAAGAACACCAGCGTACTACATCCACCCTCCTAACTTAGGACCTCTGAGCCCAATACAGTAAGTACTTCCACCTGATACATAGTTTTTAGGTACCTAACTGTTCCCAATTACATCGGTAACGCTACACTGTAACGAAATTACATACCGGCTGATGCATTTGCAGGATCACACGGCCGAGTCCTGCCTTTGATGTGCGTGAGGGGCTGCCCGCAGAGGCGGGGGAGGCCCTCGAAGCCAGGAGCCGCAGACAAGGGAGCCAAAGTTCCCTCCTGCGTACCAGGCGCTCAGAGTACGAGGCACCAGTAACCAAACCCCCCTCGCTCTTTCGCTCAGGGTCTAAAACCGAAACGCCGGCCGCGAATGCGTTACACCCACACCCACACCCTCACCTCCACCGCCGTCACTGCCCCTCCCTCCACAACTTGCCCCGCTCACCTCCCCCACTCCCCCCTCGCCGGTTTAGGGGGCAGGCCCGCC